CCTATAAAAATATTAAAACAATGTTTTGATAAATATAATGATCAAAATACCCCTTGAATTTTTTAGGGGTATTTTGATCATTTTATTTTATTGGAAATAGTTTTTTATATTTTTTGCTACTGTGAGTTTAATAAAGGATTGGATATAAAAAAACTTGTGTCCAAATATTTTATAGAAAAAATTTTAAAATAAAATAGTGTAGAGACATGACACTGTGATTGGGGCAATCTTAGCCCTCCATTCATAATGGACGGTTGGATAAGGGGAAGTATATAAGTTTTATGTTGTAGGGAAGCATAAAAAGCGTGCCCTATAGATAATAGCAATGAAAAGAGATATAGTGATTTATAATGAAACTGAGGGTATAGCCCTTGATATAGCCGAATGGTAGAACGTGGTTCATTTTTTTTTTTTTTGAGAGACATCCATCAAACTTTATTAATCACAAAAGAGAGATTACATCATTGGCAATACAAAGAGAAGCAAGCGACACACCACCTTCGCTAGCATATCAGCGATACCATTAGTTTCACGATAAATATGGGAAAAGGAGACAGAAATAGAAGAAGAAATATCCAAAATCTTCAGCCAAGGAGACCGAAGTTCCCATGGGACCAATTGCTCTTTTCGACACCAGCGAATAACATTAAAATAATCCCCTTCAACCAAGAAAATAGCTCCCAAATACCTATCTCTAAAGATCTCCAAACCTTTAAGCACCGCAAGTAATTCTGTCGAATTAGCCGTAGCTACACCAATAGGGCCCGCAAAAGATAATAAAACATCACCATCAGAATCTTGGAAGGCTCCTCCAATCCCAATAGGGCTTGGGTTTCCAATTGAACTCTCATCAAAATTCAATTTAATGTATCCTATTGGCAGCTTAACCCAAATTCGTTTACGCTTACATTGCGGAATCAAGATAAAACAAATTAGTAAGATTCATCATTACATCCATTTTTTAAATACCCCAACCTTCCTTAGAAACCGATATACTTGACCAAATAGACAACTCGACCAAATGAATTACTTTATCCAAATTCAACACAGTCCCTTCAAAGGTCCTTCTATTCCTTTCCTTCCATACTTCCCACATGATCGATCCTATAACAATTTTCCAAATCGCCCTACCAACTATAGGCAAAAATAAGGGTGTGAAGTGATGGACAATGCCCAACACATCTTGAGGCAATGGAAGTGACACACCAACCATATTCTGTAACCAACTCCACAACATAGAGACAAAGGGGCAATGAAGCAGCAAATGGTTAACCGACTCTCCATCTTGCTTACATAAAAGGTAACTATTTGGCAGAATTTTACTTCTCTTAAGAAGGTTATCAATTGTTAAAATCTTATTCTGCGATGCCAGCCATACAAAAATCTGTACCTTGTGCGGAATTGGCCACCTCCAAATTTAAACAAGTGACCACCTCCATCTGTCATGGAAAAACAGGTTATAATACGACTTAACAGAAAATATGCCATCATTTTCGACTTCCCAAACAAAAATATCCTATGCATCTTGTGCTATATATACTTTCTCTAAAAGCTCCATCATTGCACACTATTGTGATTGTATCCCATCACTAATCCCCATGTAAATGAGAGGAATACTCTTAGTAGTCTGATCTCCTCTTCGCTCAACTGCATTACAGACCAAAATATTTTGATTTGAAGCCAACCGAAACACATCAGGGAAAGCCACCTTTAGTGGATAATCTCCTAACCATTTGTGATGCCACAATAAAATCTGTCTACCACTACCAAGATTCCATCTAAAGTAACCTGAGATCATCGGCCTGTAATTATAAATCGCTCTCCACATATATGAACTCTCTCTACCTCGACCACCACCAATCGCTCTCCACATATATGAACTCTCTCTACCTCGACCACCACCAATCCATACATTATAACTTTCCAACCCATATTTGGCAATCAACACTTGGCACCACAAATGACTTCTGAAATGATAACTTCTCCACCACCACTTACAGAGTAAGGCAGCATTGAAATATCTCAATCGTCGGATCCCTAAACCCCCTTCTCGCTTAGGTGTGTACACTCTATCCCATCTAAGCAAGTGGTATTTATTGTTTTCTCCGTGCGTACCCCACAAAAAGTCCCTCATCAATCTCTCGATCTTTTTAGCAACCAATGTTGACATATGAATCACCTACATCTGATACGCAGGAAGATTGGCTAAACATGATCGTAAGAGAGTAACCCAGCGATAAGTACTTATATTTCCAAAGGTCAAGTTTCACTTGCACGCTCTCAATAATTTTATCCCAAACAGTAATAGGAAATTTTGAGTCTGAGATAGGTAAACCCAAATAAGTGATAAGGAAAGTTTTTACTTTGCAGCCCAAAACTAAGGCCAAACTTTGCAATGCCGGGCCTCTGCACTTAATCCTCACCAAAGAAGATTTATGCAAATTCACCTTAATTCCCATGACAACCTCACAAATTTCCAAATATCTTACAATATTTCGAAGCTGTGTCTCATCCGCATCACAAAAAATGATTGCATCATCAACATATTGCGAATGAGATACAACAATATTAGAGTTTACAATTTGGAAACCCCTAAAGTTACCTCTCCGTTCAACCCTGGACAACATAAGGCTAAAATATTCTGCATGGATAGTGAATAAGAACAGGGAAGCCCTCTAGAGGCATTAAAGAAACCAATTGGGTTACTTTTGAATATGACCGAAAAATGAGTAGTAGAAAGGGACCCAAAGATCCAACTTTGCCATATTATCCCAAAACCCATCATCTTCAAAATTTCCAATAACACCCCCCACTCCACCCTATCATATGCCTTTTCTAAATCCAGTTTAAGAAGCAAGCCTGCCCTCTTACTCATAACTCCATAATGGATGCACTCTTGAGCTACCAAGATACTATAAGTAATCTGGCGATCCTTGATAAAGGCTGACTATGAGGTCGAAATAATCAAAGGCAAAACCCATTCAAGGCGTTCAACAAGTAATTTGGCAATAATTTTAAAGATGCATGTAAGCAAACTTATGGGTCTAATGTCAGATAACCAATTTATTATTGAATTAATGCCAAAAAAGTAGAATTTATACCTTTAAAATTTTTACCTCCGATAAAAAACTCTTTCACCAACACCAATAAGTCATCCTTCACCAAATTCCAGAATCGATGGAAGAATACTAAAGGAAAACCGTTTGGTCCAAGGGCTTTGTCGCCAAGTAATGCAAAAATTGAAATTTGTAGCTCTTCAATAGTAATATCCTTTTTCAAGCAACTTGTTGACTCAAATCCAATTTCTTGAAGGGAACACTATCAAAATTCAGTGTGAGAACCACTTCCTTTGTGAAAGCAGCCTTGAAATGAGTAATAACACCTTATTCCATTGCCTCCTTATCATCCAAATCAAGTCCAGGTATTGAGAGACCCAAAATATCATTTTGTCTTCTTCTTGCACTAGCAATTGCATGGAAGAATTTCGTGTTACGGTCCCCTTCATTAAGCCATTTGTTCCTAGATCTCTGCTTCCAATATATTTTCTCAACTCTTAGTGCCTCCTCCACCTCCTTTAGCTTCTCATGACGCTCACAAAGCAGCTGGTCTGTCAAGATACCATTTTCCTGAATATTGTGGTCCAGAGTCTCTATTTCTGCCACAATCCCTTCAACTTTTGTTTTGAAATTCACTTGGTTATCCTTCCTCCAATCAAATAATTTATGCTTGATATTCACTAACTTTTTACGTATTTGGAAGTCCATTGATCTAATCACCACTGTGTTAGACCACGTCCTTCTAATAAGTTCCAGCACCTCTAGATTTTCCAACCAACATAACTCAAACCGAAAAGGCTTAGGACCACCCCTACTACTTCCCGTCAGAAAGAGTAAAGGGAGATAGTCAGAGGAAAGTCGCACCAAAGATTTGATAGAAACTAAAGGGAAATCCTCTACCCATTTTGCAACAACTAAAAATCTCTCAAACTTGGACATAGCAAGGGCCCTAACACTATTATTAGACCAAGTGAAACGTGATCCAATAACAGGAGGATCCAAAAAAGCATTATCTTCTATAAATCTATTAAAAAGCATCATCAAAAAATTAATTGGGTGACCTGCCAAGCATTCATCAGGCCATCTTATAAGATTAAAATCCCCCCCAATTACAATAGGAAATGAGAAAGACTGAATCACCGAAGATATATCCTCTAAGAAAGCAGGTTTTAAGGAATTAACAGAAGATCCATACGTATTTATAAACCCCCAAGAAAAACCCTGAGTAGGACCTACAAAACTCAAAAGTATAAAATTATCCTTGACAACCATCACAAAGTTAGAGAGTATCAAAGGATCCCAAAGAATACAGACTCTACCAGAATTACCCATAACATCAATACCACAAAGAGACACATACCCTAAGCCCCAAATTTTCCTAGCCAATGACAGAGAAGGGCTAGGCAATTTGGTCTCTTGTAACGCTACAATAAGATGTTTGTACTTGGACACTAAAAACAAAACATATTTCCTTCGCTTGGGATCACCTAGGCCCCAAACGTTCCCCGATAAAATATTCATTAAAACAACTGAGAAGAGGAAGAATAACCTGGTCCTGACGGTCCGATCCCATCGCGATCTTCATACATCTCCATGGCCTCCCAATCTCCATCATCAGATGAGGAAGAGGAAGACAAGCCAAATATCCACCAATTCTGGTTCACGATATTTAATGGTAGCAACATTCAAAGTCCTTTAGGAACACCACTGGCCTCCAATCTAGCCGATAACCGAGAGCCTTGACGGAATAACTTCTTACCCTTAGCCTTCATAGAATCCTTCCAAGTCGTGGTTCCATCCATCTTACAGATAAGGTTCGCAACAACATCCATCCGAGACTAGGTCTCTTGACCATCATAATCCTTCGTTTTCATCCCCTTGGACTTTCTGAGCTTGTGAATCTCAGACATCACCGTCGAAAGTGGCATCGATTCCATACCCATGTCAAACAACAATTTTTGAAATGCCGGTAGTCATTAGAATGATCAATGGTTAGAAGGGGCATAACCACCGAAGGGTTAGGTGTAGCATCCACCACTGGTACTGGTTCATGAGTCAAGACCAGATACAAACTTGTTCCAAGAACAACATGGGGAGTGTTGGGTGCAGCATCCACAACATGTACCAATTCGTAAGCCATTACCAAAGGCTAACTCGAGCCAACTGCCTCCATGAGTGGTTCATGAACCAACAATAAAGCTTGGTTCGTAAGAACGATATCCACCTGTTGTCCCTCTAAAGAATCCATGGCTGGAAAATAATCCTCCAAAAGCATCTTCGGCTCATATGAATCAACCACCACAATTGCAAGGGGGTCAATGAGCAAAGGATCAAACCGGCTACGACTAGCTTTCTTGGCCCGATAAGGTAATGGATACATCTTGCGAAGGAGAATAGTGAACACCAAGGCGAAGCACCACACTTGGCCTAGCCCTTTCCAATGCACCAGAAAGAAGTGGATAGTAGCAGCCAGAGAAGAGAGGAACGACTTACAAGCATGAGTCTTTTTAGGGAGAGAAAGAAACTCTCTATCCAATGTAACTCAAGAGTAAGCCGCCACATATACGGTCAAACTGGGCTCAAAGGCGCACTGATCACAATCCCGACCGTACGCACTCGTACCACGTGCCTCCGAACTCGTACTGCGTGCATTTCCCCCACTCGCCACCAAAGCCATCCTATTTCCTTCAAAAACACTTGATAGACCCTCAAGAGGCAGGAGACGACCACACTGTGCCAAAAGGCTATCATCTAAGATCCATTCTTTAGGCACTTCTTCCGTCATGCACTTTCCACTCTTTAAAACTCCAATATGTAAATCCAGGTTGGGACTTTCCAAGGTTGGGGGGCTATCCAAAATATCATACTTCACTTTCCGGGGGCTACGAATAAGGTGAGAAAGTCCCTGTGTAAACTTTGGAAACCTACCCACAGGTTTCCAAATTTTTGAAATTCTGGGAGTTACGAAACTTTGAAAATTGAACCTCATACAATCATGTCGAAAACCAATATGGTGGTTGACCCTTTTCAAATTTCTACTAGCCGGCACTGGAGGATAAGAACTTTTCAGCCGACGAGAAGCCTTGTCATGGACATCCTCCAGCTGCACCATCTGTGGACCTGCATTCTTAGCCACAGACTCACACAATACTTCAATGATGAAGGAATCTTCACAAATATTGAGGCAAAGTTGGTCAGGTAAAGCCATGCTCATGGCCTTGGATATTTTAACCTGAACCTCAAAACAAACTGGATTTAAAAAGGAATCCCAGTCAAGGTCTAGATAGCAACCAAGAGAACTCACAATCTTTTTAATAATCTCTAAGCTCCACGCAAACAAAGAAATACCTCAAAGACGTACCCACATAATCTCCTTTTGAACAAAGGAACTATGATCCCTAGACTTCTAGAAATCCAATGATAGGAGGCTACCACGGATACGATATAAACGATGTGTGAGCACTCTCTGTGCTTCATCCTTAGCTCTCTGTTTGAATACCACTTTATTCATGCCAATGACCTTCATATCAAGAGAATATGAAAGATTCCATCCCCTCTTAGCCCAATCAGATAAACTAAAAAAACCAAAAATAAGAGGAGAAAAGGAACCTGTCACAAACAACTTCGACTCGATGTTGCGCTGCTCCTACTTAGATTTCTCCAACCTAACCAAAGGTAGAGGGGACCTACCACTGATCTGCAAAACGTTTGATCCTACCACCATTTCATTCTTCTCCTACCACCATCTCATTCTTCTCTCTAAAAGGGTGTGAGGATTATTCCATGTTTGTCACTATAATGACAACGTGATGATGTCTGCCCAATCTCATGCATCTTCTATTCTTTCTCTCTCATCAAATCAACATGGTTCATTTAGTGTATCTCAAATTGATCACATAAGGCTCACATAATGATAGTGATACTTCTAACGCTTAGTAACCATGTTCTTGTAGCACATGTCAAGCAAATTCCTATCATGATCATGTGTATGGTGCCTTAGCGGCCGGATCAAATCACGAATTGAGCTGAAAATGTAATCTTTCCTCATATGAATGCCAGTGTGTTCTCGTTAGTGCCAGGTGAGGGACGGCTGGGGCAATTCATAGATTATGTTACACAATTTGAAAGTGGAGTATATATGCTATGCTTTAGGAGCATGTTCCATATCCTGCCCCTCGATCATAACCCACTCGGGAGATATATATATATATATATATCTCAAATTTTTAGAACCACATAAATTTAATTTTTTCAAAATAATGAATTTTAATTTTGAGTTTCTAATACTTAAATCTCATGCTTAAAAAATCGGAAGGTCTTTGCTTAACTATACATAAAGTAAGATATGAAATATCTTTGGGGAATGTTCTGATATCACCGTATCATTGTTATCATCATCAAAGCCTTTTTCCAACTAATTAGGGTGGTCCGCCATTCTACTCTATTAAGGTAAACAAATTTTATAGGTTTATGATTCATGATATGTTTTGGCAAAGTTTTATGTTGGCTACTTCCAAACATAACCAAGCCCCTTTACTCACCATGTTATTATAATATAATAAAATTGTACTTCTAGAAAACCATGTTTGGGGCCATTGTATGACCTCAAATTTGTAGACACACTCTCTTCATCCCAACAAAAAATCCAAAAAAATAAATTTCAATTCGCACCCTATATTATGGTCAAAATAGGTCTCCTCCAACCATGAATCTAGACCATCTATTTGGTTAATTTTAAGATCTATGCCTTTATGGATTCATAATCAATTTTTTATTTTTTAACATTGTTTAAAAAACTATCTAAAAGTTATGGAAAGGAAACCCATCCATCCAAGGCATAGATCTAAGCATATACTAAAATAAACAACCTGTATTAATTAGGCTAAAAAATATTTTTTAGATATATATATTTTTTTGTGATTTTATATTAGAATGAAAAGAGTGTGTTTAAAAATTTGGGTCAAATAAATGAGCATAACATGACTTTTAAAGATTATTTTATTATATTACTAGAAAACCATTTCATAAAATCACTCCCCAATATCTTTTATTAAGAATAGTCCATGGATTGAAGAATGCTATATCCCTAAATTTTAGGATTCGAAAATTTAATTCTAGATTGGATTTTATATGTAAAAGTTAATGGAAAATTGTTCCATCTAAAAACAATAAAAATTAACAGGTCGAAATGGTTTCTTACTAAAATTGTTATTTTTAAATTATTTATTTATTATGTTCATGATGTGCATGCTAGAGATTATATATATTTAAACATTAAGTCTTAAAAACTATCTCAGATTTATAAAGACGCCCCCATTTCTAGGGTTGGCCGCAAAGAAACTGGGTACCTCATACATGATGCTCATGACTTATCACTATACACATGGTCAGCATGGTGTGGAGTCGCAGACAAGGTGCTCATCGTCCATTTAGATCAATAGACGGCAACGATGAAACTCCCTTCTGCTCTCCGTCAGCAAAGCATCGGCTGGCCTCATCTCCTCCCCATAAACCGACTTTGGACAGTCGGTTGTCCTTCTCCACATCGTACACGGCGTATGTATGGTCTAGGTTTTGTCTAGGGTTTTTGGTTTTCGCTCCCTCTTTTGAAACTCGAAAGCCTCGCAAACAGGCGGGCTTCTTCTTCAACGATCACATCCATGGGGAAGAACAAAAAGCATGGCGCCGACAACCAGGAAGTTCGTCCTCGTCGAAACTCAAACCCTAATTTATTTTCAGTTTCTAACGCGACCGCCAATTTCTTCTTCTCAAACCCTAACCCTAATTTATTGGCACCTGCAACTCTGAACAATCCACATTTTCTCCCCAACTTCGTACCTCCGACTAGTCCTGACTTTTTAAGACCAGGAATTTTTTACAATCCATCTGTGATTCCCTCCAATCATGGAGCTCCAAACCCTAACCCCAACTCTAGCTTCTTCCAGCCTGCAAACATTGTACCTGCTCTTTCTCAAATTTCACCTCATTCTCGGATTGGAAGCCATGGTCTCAGCGAAGGAGTTGTTCAAGGGTTGGAGATAGTGGCTCAAAAGGTTCACAGAGACTTGCTGGCTTCTGGTACGGGTGTTTTGGCATGGAAAGTCATCAAGCCTGTGCTTTTTTCATGTGGAGTTGAATCATTGAGTGATTTGGGGCATAATTTGCAGCGAATTCCTACTTTGCAGAAGCTCATTTTCATGGAAGGAAAGGTGTGTGAACTTACTGATGTTTTATTAGTTTTACTGAATTTAGGTTTTGATCTCTACTACGCTGAGGAAATTCTCATTAGAGGAATGTATTTTTAAGAAGAATAAACGCAATAGAAAACGAGAAGCAACTAGGAACAGTGAAATGGGAATGACATGTATGTTTTTTGATGTGATCATCAGTGTTTCAAAAAGCGTTAGGCCCAACTCCTAGGCAAGCGCCCGGAACCTTGGCGGCCCAGTTGAATCCAAATAAATATCATGCAGTGCAGTTATGTCAATATCAGTTATATGTGTTGCAATACATAATTTAAATTATATTACATATTAGCATTGCACGCACAATTCATAAACATAACCATAATCCATAAGTCGGTTCAGACTCCATATCCAATTAAACTTCAAATTTACAACCAATTGAATTATCAAACCAAGTTATCAAATAGTATCACACCAGTACTGGAGTACACCACCATGAGGAAGAAAACAAAATTGAATTATGAAACTATGAAAGTAATACTTGAAGACTCAAAAGAATCTTTAATAGTTCAATACACAATGCTTCAATCAAAGTTCAAACTTCAAAGTTTAATAATTATTCAACAATCAACATTCATCATCAGAAAATCTTGGGTCAGCTGTATTGGCATCATATTCATCGGAGTCGACGGAGTCGTCACCCTCCTCAACATATTGGTCATCCCTGTCCTCCTCCGTCTGTTCTGAATCACCCCCTTCTTCCTCCTCTTCCTCCATCCTTGTTCTCTGTGCAGAAGATCTAGTAGCCCTAGGAGGGTCAGCTGATGTCGTTGAAGCATCCATGACCATGTTCCATGTCAATCCTTCATGCCCCTCGACCTCATCATCATCAACTAACCACTCCATAGCATGGTCCATATTTTTTGATCTGATGGGGTCTCTCTTAGCAAACCTGTCTTTCAAGAATCGACGGTACTTGACATAGACTAAGTCATTGAGTCTCTTTGATTCAAGCCCGTTTCTTTTCTGTGTATGAATCTAACAAAATCAAATGAAACTAATGAAAATCTAATATCTATGGTGCATGTATTAGTTATAAAATTATACAAATTACCCTTATGGCCTTACCCCTTCAAAAGTACTCCAATTGCACTCACAACCGGATGAAGAAGTGGTTAGGTTTATAATTCGAATGGCTAACTTTTGTAAATTTGGAGAACTAAACCCATGTTGGCTCCACCAATGGGCTGTAAAGATATAGAATAAAATCATAAATAAATAATACAATTACTTGATTACTTGAACTTGATGAACTTAGGAGTATTATTAATACCTGAATCAATTTTGGCCCTTTGCCTCATTACCATTGGACCTCCAAAAGACTTTAGTGAGCACTTGTAATATATCAGCTCATCCGTGCATATAATATCCTGCATATCAGGATCAGGGAGTAGCACCTCTACACACTCATTAAATCCATTCATAATTGTGTCATTTGTTTGTATATCCATGTTAATATAAAATAAAGTTGGGTTCAAATAATAACCAGCTGCATGCAATGACCGATGTAGCTGCCTATCCCACTTCTCATCAATAATCTCCCAAATAAGCTTGTAGCGGGTTTCTTCATCATTGAAATTTTGGGCTATCTCTCTTTTGCATTTCTCCATAGCATCATATATGTAGCCCATAGAAGATTTGTCACTATCAACCATGCGAAAGTCTTTGACAAGAGGAAAAAATACCTTACGAGCGCCCTTCACCCCTTTCAAAAAAGCCTTAGAAAGTATAATATCTCTCACCTTCTTCCCAACCTGATCATTAGACTACTTGCATGCTCTCCACTCATTTGAGATAAACATTCGCCTCAACTGTACTCTCCTCGAATGTATGCTATCTAAGCATAAGTACCAGGTCACAAACCTCGTGACCCTATGCCTCACAATCTCTTTTTTCTTTGTAAAGATACACATCATGCTGAGGGTGAGATGGTGGCTATAAATGAAATTTACAACTAACTTGGCCTTCTTCACTGCACCTGATATATCGGTTAAACCGCCAAGAGTCTCAAGCATGAGGTCTATACAATGTGCTGCACATGGTGTCCAAAAGATTCTAGGATAAGCTATGCGCAACAAATTAGATGCAGCAACATTTGGAGCAGCATTGTCTGTGACAACCTGTACAACCAGATGCTCTCCAACCTCCTTGATTCCCTTCTCTATCACTTGAAATATGTAATGGGCATCATGGATATGATCAGAGGCATCAATAGACCTCAAAAAGACAGTCCTTGCAGGACAATTTGCAAGCAAATTCATCTGACTTCTTCTCTTCCTATCACTCCAAGCATTAGTCATAATAAAAACCCCATACTGAGCCCATGCATCCTTCTTAAGTTCTACAGCTTCCTTCATGGCACTCATTGCCTTCTACCTTTTTTAAAAAAGGCTATGAAAGCTCATATGGGGTTGGGGATTTCATTTCAGGGCCAAATTGGACAACTGCCTCTATCACAACATAGAAGCTGCTTAAGCGAGCGGTATTGAAAGGAATGCCCGCCTCATAAAACCATGTAGCAAGATAATACGTAGCTCTTTCTCTCTTCTTTCTTGATTATATTTTCAATGGTGGTTTTCTTTTTTGTTTTCTCTCCTGCAACCTCAAAGTTAGGCCGAGGTAAAAAACTATACATAGGGCCTCTAATCCGAGGCTTTAGTCTCAGAATCAGAAGCAATTACAACTTCCTTCCCCTTTCCCTTAATAATGGATTGCTTAACCTCTTGACATCCCTTCATTTCCTCATCACTATCATCACATCAAAATTGACCCGAACCCCAGACATAATCTCTGCTATAGAGGCAAATCTCCCATCTTTTTTCATTTTCACCATGTTCAAAAAATTCTTTATTTCATCTTTAACAACATTACGAGTCTTTTTACGTGGGGCAACATCCCCCTTGGTACCGACAAGATGTTTCTTGAACCGGTTTATGCCCCCTTTTGTATCATTTTCACAAAACTTGCATCTAATGCAATTTTTATCATTAGGATCTGGGTTATAGCCATATTTCCAACCAGGATTTTCATTCCTATTAGATCCTGAAGAAGACATCTAAAAAATAATGCAAATTACTAAAGCAATAAAAAAAAAATCACTTACTTTGAGTTTGATTGCTCAATCTTCAAACTTCCACCTCAAAGATGCTTCTAAATACTCAAAATCTTCTAAAAAGCCCCTAATAACTTTGCAAAACATCAAAAAGTAAATCTAATATCAATGGGTGATGTTTTGATCGATGTTTGTTGACTTTGAGAAACCTTTCGATCCTAAAAAATTCACCAAAAATTAGATTTTTGGGGGCTTTCTCTCTCTAAAATTGTCTCCAACAAGTTTTAGGGTTCAAATGAATCTAAAACCCTAATTTTTGGCCCTTTAAAACAAAAAAAAAGACCAAAATTGCCCCTATCGAAATCAATTTCGGCCCCTGGGCGGGGCGCAGGCCCTGGGCGCTCCGTACCGCCTAGGCAGCCGCCCAAGGATCGACCGCCCATATTGGCCGCCTAGGCGTGGGCGATGCGCCCAGGCCTTTCGGACCACCTAGGCGGCCGCCTAGGCGCTGGGCCGTCCGCATTTTGAATCATTGGTGATCACAACAACTTCTGTAAAGCAATGTAACTGAGTTCTAATGTAAGTTTACTTCCACGCCATTTTAGGACATTGAACCAATGTAATCTTTGTGTAATCTCGAAACTTGGACAAATGGCTCAGTGAATTCCAGAACCAGAAAAAAAAATATTGGTGGATTGTTCATTTGTATATATCTATTTCTTTAGGATTCTAAATTACAAAATAGAAAAATTGAGCAGGTATACTATGCTCTCTTAGGAGCATGGTTTACTTCTACTCCCTTCGTCAAAAGACCTACTTGGGAGGATTTTTTCAATATGAAATTTTGGGAACCACTTCAAAATTAGTAGACGATTATTACCTTTTTTTTTTTTTTTGAAATTTAAGTTCTCTTAACACTTATATCTCACCATCTAAAAATTGGATGGTCTCGATTCAGTATCGAGACATTACTTTTTTCAATTGCATAGATGGTACAATTATGAATGTTTCTATTGGGGTTAATGTATGCGAATTTTGGGGTCTTAAAATTGATTCTAAGTGGGGTTTTACTCGAGGGAGTTAATGGACATTCTGCTCCCGTGGGAGTAAAATATCTTTTGGCAAAAAAATTTAAGGTCTCCATTATGCCTAATCTCTCTCGAATTGACGATCACTAGCTTCTCCTTCGCCTTGTCAAAATATCTTTAATTTTGTTAGGATGCATAGAGAATTAGAGATCTGCAACTTGATTACCTGTTCTGAATATATTGCTTACTTTTTTTTATTCTTTGCTAAAGCCTTTATAACATGGAAATGCGTCCTTTCGAAGTGCTTATGATAGGATATTTTTTTTCCAGTTTGAGTGATGAATTGAATATAGTGTTACTGACCTTGGATAGTTTATTAATAAGAAATTTTTGTTATAGAAACAGTTGAGAGACCCTGAGGGAACCTAATTTTCTCCGCATTGTATGTTTTCTAAGTTACACGAGATTTAGATAGTATTTATTTGCTGGTCATATTTGGAGTTCCTTGTTGCAACTTGGAGGGTCTTTAATTGTTTGTGGTGTGTAAAATTGATCTGTCTTCTTCACCATGTTACAAGCTAATAAAAGAGAAACCAATTGTGGGATCCATGGTATTTTTGAATAGGTTATGCCTTTTCATGTTACATCATAAAATGCTTTTGGTAACTGGACAAAAGTTCTGCAATTTTGTTTGTTCTTGATGGGTAACTGAATCTTGTTGTCTAAATTTAGCAGTTTTTGAAAACTTGTGCAAGTCGACTCGGACTTGGGTGAGTTACTCAGGGCTCGGAAGGCTGCTGAGCCCAGAACAGGAAACTAGTATGTACCTTATATGGTGCTCGGATGACTACTATAACTAATCGTTCGGTATTGTACAAACATGG